CTATAGAATTAGCTTTATCTAAATAAATCGACTTATTGGATTGAACTGGGGTGGCCTTTACTTGATGAAAATCTGTTTATCAAAATAAAGACACGGTGTTGTCGAAACAATTGTCGTGTCAAAATATATAATTTCGTGAAAATCTGAACTTTTAGTTCTTATAAATTGGTTAAGGCTTTCGCGGCCCGTTGATAAGCTATTATCTTGGTTCGGGTTTAAAGGCCGTCGTCGATTGGAATTACTTCCTAACGTTTCGCTAGCACGAGTGGCGAGCTTCTTCAGAGGTCCTTCCATCTCCGATGTTGGACGTAGACAGTCTACGTCCAACATCGGAGATGGAAGGACCTCTGAAGAAGCTCGCCACTCGTGCTAGCGAAACGTTAGGAAGTAATTCCAATCGACGACGGCCTTTAAACCCGAACCAAGATAATAGCTTTTAGTTCTTATTTATTTTGGCTTATTGGATTTAATTTCGTATTTTAACGTATTAAGATTGGTTCTCATGAACAGAATAATTTTGTCGGTTTCATTTGGTAATTCCTTTTGCATCGTATTTGGTTTACTTTGCTTTAGTTGTTTTTCCTTCGGCGCCGCTTCATTTTTTCCTTGATTTTTTTCGTTATATATTTTTGTATATCACTAATTTCGTAGCTACCTGTGGATAAAGTATTCACTTTGTTTTCGATATAAAATTTATTATTCGAGTTATCTACGTTGGGAATCGTATTAAATGTAACAAAGTCGATTAGATCAAGGGCGTAATTTTTTGTATCGTCCAAAACAATTGGGGGATACATTTTTGCCGAAAGAATAAATTGTTTACCCGATAACGTAAATGTACATAAGTTTGGGTTGACGTGCGATGGACCTCTGAAGATCTGAACCATCTTCCAATGCAGCATACAACTTTATTGAGAAACAAAATGTAAACATCGTAATTATATTGCACGTAACAGGATCCGTTTGAATTGAAGTACGCTAAGGCTTCCAGTGGCTGCGATAAATTCCCGTAACTATCAAAGTATATGATGTTGGAGCCTTGTTTTTTGTAACACGTATACTGGACGTGTTACACCATTTTTATCGTCTAAGTTGATGATACCTCTCTCGTTCTTTTTAATTTTTTCCGCATAAAAACTTCTCTAAACACTTCGAACACTGTGTTCGAAGTGTTTTCGGAGCGCGAGAATTGAAGATGCCAAGTGAGATTTTGGCGAAACGTTTGCAGGATTCCAGTCGGATGCAGGATTTGCAGGATTCCAGTCGGATGCAGGATTCCAGTCGGAGTTCAACGAGCGAACGGATGATATCCCGGAATATAGTGTCATCACATTTTTCCATCCGTGAATCAATACGTGAGAATATATATATATATATATATATATATATATATATATATATATATATATATATATATATATATATATATATATATATATATATATATATATAATTTATGTAAAAAGTAGTCAAAGTGTGGGGTCAAGTAGATATTTCCTAAAATTTAAAAAATTCGACGCCTGCAAAGAGCTGGGCATCGCGACACACATTTTCACTCAAACCATTGAATGGCCACATTTAAAGAGCTTTAAAATGCTTTATTCCTCAATCACCTTAAAATCGTCGGGAAGATATAAAATTATCCCCAATAATGAAAAACCCAAAAGTTGGTTTTATTTATTTCGCAATCTCACAAAAATCTGACGTTTTAGATATTCAATCAAGGCATTCAAGAGCCTCATAAGAGAGCCTGAAAATTATGTATTGCTAATCCACCTTGAAACCGCCGGGAAGATATAAAACTACCCCCAATAATGAAAAACCCAGAAGTTCGTTATATTTATTTCGCAATTTCAAGAAAAAAATGATGTTGTCCCAGATATTCAATCAAGCCATTGAAGAGCCACTTAGGAGACCTTCAAAATGATGTATTGCTCGTCCACCTTGAAATCGGAGGATGATCTAAATGTATATAAAAAAATCGTTATGTTAATTTCGGAATCTCAAAAAAATTGAACGTTGTCAATGATATTCAATAAGACCATTGAAGAGCCACTTGGAAAAGCTTTACAATGATATATTGCTCAACCATCTTGAAACCGTTCGGAGATATAAAACTAAATAAAGAATCGTTAAAGACCATTAAAGACCCACTTACGAGAGTGTGTATTGCCCATCCACCTTGAAACCGTCGGGAAGATATAAAACTACAAAAAACTATCCCCAATAATGAAAAATCCGAAACTTCTTTATATTTATTTCGCAATCTCAAAAAAATCTACTCCACCTTGAAATCGTCAGGAAGGTATAAAACTCATCAACGTTGAAACAGTCAGAAGGATATAAAACTATCCCCAATAATAAATTACTCTAATAATTATCGTAGTCGCCATTTCAAAGAATCTGACGTCCCAAATATTCAATTAGACCATTAAAGACCCACTTACGAGAGTGTGTATTGCCCATCCACCTTGAAACCGTCGGGAAGATATAAAACTACTAAAAACTATCCCCAATAATGAAAAATCCGAAACTTCTTTATATTTATTTCGCAATCTCAAAAAAATCTACTCCACCTTGAAATCGTCAGGAAGGTATAAAACTCATCCACATTGAAACAGTCAGAAGGATATAAAACTATCCCCAATAATAAATTACTCTAATAATTATCGTAGTCGCCATTTCAAAGAATCTGACGTCCCAAATATTCAATTAGACCATTAAAGAGCCACTTAGGAGATCTTCAAAATGATGTGTTACTCATCCACCTAAAAATTTTCGGGAATTATAAAACTAAATCAAAAAATCGTTATGTTAATTCCACAATCTCAAAAAAATCAGGCGTCCGAGATATTCTATCAAGCCCTTGAAGAGTCACTAAGGAGAACGTGAAAATTATGTATTGCTCATCCACCGTGAAACCGTCGGGAGGATAAAAGGATACCTCCAATAATGAAAAACCCAAAAGTTCTATATATTTATTTTGCAATCCCAAAAAAATCTGAAGTTCTTTTAGATATTCAATCAACCCATTGAAGAGAACTTTAAAATTATGTATTGCTCATTCGCCTTGAAATCGTCAGGAAGATATAAAACCAAATCCAAAAATTCTCTATTTTCACACGACAAAAAACAGATTCCACTAGTTTATTAGATACGGCACAATTTAACTAAAAATTCTATAAACATATTTAAATATGTCGTTAAAAGAATTGCTGAAACTTTATTCCATTTGTTAGGACTTACGAATTTTCTGCTATAAAATGTTTTTTCCTATGCGTGTTCGAGTATTGCGGACCAAACGTACAAATTATTGTGATATTTTGAGCTTCTAAAGAAATTTTGTTTGCTCACATATAGGGAAACGCTTCTTCTTTCTCTTAAATTTTGTATTAATTTGTTTTATTGCATATTTTTCTACGCCTATATAATAATTTGCAGGAAAAAACTCACAGTGATCACAGTGAAGTAGTTGCGGATCGGGAATAAGATCGTATGGCAGGCCTGGAAACTCCTTGTGCGGTTCCTAAAAACTTTCCTCTTCTTCGGAGTTCAACATATAATTTGTTGTTCTGTCGACTTTTCGCTGGTAAAACTAGAATTCGCCATTGTTTTTTACATAGTGTCGTTCCTTTGAATATGCCTCTTAAATTGGTGCACAATAGTTTCACACAAATAATAAAAGTCTTGCTTTCGTCGATAACTTTGTTTTGTCGTAATGTTTTATTACTGAAATCATTTAAACAGGAATTTGTTTTAGTGCCACGTGAAAATGGATTTCTTCCCTTTCCCTTCTTTTACAAGCCTATCTAATTAAGCAAGTCAAGTTATATTTTCTCATTTGTAATAACGCTGTACGTTTTATACTCCGCTTCCGTAAAGTTTAAAATTAAGGCATTTGTTTACAGGTAGGACTGTAAACAAATGCTTTTCTTATAAAAACTGTTAAAAAAACTAAGGTTTCTTATAAACCCCTTATAAATATCCGATGCTTCATAATAAAACCTTTAGCTGCATAGGCCTATAGAATAATAATATTTTTAAACTTATTTTGTTGCGTTTTGGAATTTCATTAAATTAATTGTAAACCTTTTATGCGAGTAGAAAGAATATTCTTTTTCTACACCCGCCTGTTAAATACCTAATTACCCATCGATCTAGCGTTCGGGAAGCGTCACTTTACCACGTCAGTTTCGTTTCCCACGATTCTCAGCCATTTCGGACATTTCCGAGATTTTACCGCACGGAGTTGGGAGCAATCGGATGTTTTCGGAGATATTTCCCACGCTTTGAATTTTGACGTTTGTCAATTCTGACAGTCATGTCAGTGAATGTATTCGTGTTTTGCGAAAGTGTACCCAAAAACTAACGGTCGTAGAAAAAGTATAGTATGCAACACGTTCGGTAAACTTTTTAACTCACTCGTTTATTAAAAACTAGTTGCATAACATACTATTTCCGCATCTTTTCTTCAAAAGGGGTACAGATAGTCTGGCTGCATTTAATGAGTTCAGCCATTTATGTGTTAAAGCGCTGCAAATCTCAAACCCTAGAAATCGTCCCTACCATCTACTTTCAGAACAATTTCGTGATATCAATGTTCAATCAATATCTGCAATCCTTCTGATTACAGGCCTCTTTGTACATACATTAAAATAAAATGTGTGGTTTTTCCCTTAACGTATTATTAAGGACGCCATTTATAGATTGCGTGATATCGGAGATTACTCAAACACGGGCGTCCTCATTTTGTTTTGCGCCCAGATATCTTTGACCGTCGGCACTTCCTTTTTGGCGGATTTGGGAGCTAAACTTTAAGCAAATCCTGCAAAATCCCGCTGCTCTATAGCACCGTCAACGACAGCTCTTGATGTTTCACCTACCCCAAATCACTACCAAAGAAAAAAAATCATGCGACGCCGCTGTGCAGGAGTCTGCTGGTGTTTATAAAGGTGGTAAAAGTTGCACCCTCTATGCAAAAATGAAGGTGAACTATTTTACGCACGTTAGGAGGCTGATGATGTTGATCGGCATCTGGAAAATCGTCAGTCCCGAGACCTCCAGTTTCCGAAAACGCATCTATCAAGTGTACTCGGTGTCGTTCCACGTATTCTGCTATTCGGCGGCTATTTCGTTGCTGGCTGAAATACCGACGTTGGCAAAGTCCAACATGGTTATTGGTATGGCTATGCGTAACGTATCCGTATACAGTAATCTGGAGACAATGATGTCGTTGCAGCAATGGACAACGCGAACAGGTTCACGGTCTACGTCTTCATCATCATCAAGATGATCGCTTGGCAATCAAAACGGATGGTGGATCTGCGCGCGGTCGTCTTACGGCAAGACTCGGAAATGCTAGCCACTTCTCAAATAGACCCTGTGGTCGGCAGATTGTATAGACGACACGTAAAGTACAATCATAAGTTTATATTCGTTCTCGTCGCATCTGGGACAGTAATACCGATTACCATCCTCGCTGTAGGTAAGTGTTTACTTATTTCGCCACTACGACTGGTCGAATTTACGACAAGCAGCCCTGGCGAATTTGGATTCGGTGGTACTCGCAGCTCAATTTTCTGTATATGGCCTTCTTCTTTTTTTAATTTTTGAAATTTACAAGCTGTTCCCATGTTGTGTACTTTTGTTTTATTTAAACAGAAGAAAAAGTGCTGCTTTCGCGACAGTGTACTACTTTTTCGTAAAAGTAAATATGCCGTTAACAAAATTTTCATCGCCTTTTCTAAGATTCACGCTAAATTGAAAATTTTGCATTTTCTATTTTTTTCTCTGATAACTCATCGAAAATGTGAAAATCATCCCTTATATAACTTTTCTCGTTCTTTTCCGCCGTTTATTCAATATTTTTATACAATATTTTTCGCTTTTCCTAAGAGACAATTTTGAAGTTTTAGTAAGTTTAAAACAACAATTTTTTAGCATGAACTAACAACATAGCAAAACACAAAAATCTTACATTGTCAAAAAAGAAAAAGAAACAATTTTTAAAAGGGAATATTTATATTGACGACCATTTTCTCTAATACAAAATTGCTACATACTGTCATATCATATTTCATATACTTCATTTTATATTTTGACATGACAATTGTTTCGACAACACCATGTCTTTATCAAATGTAATATTTACAAATTACCTGCTTCTATATATATATATATACCGAAAAATGACCATAAAACCTTGATTAAAGTTGTTGCGAGAATTTAAGTTCAATAAAGGAGAGGTATTTAAATCTAATTGATCGTTAAGCAATACATTTGAATGTCTCATTTTGTTAATCTCCATGGCTTCCAATAAATTAAATTTTCTACTTTTTGTGTGTATGTAATATATCAAAATTGTCGGCAAAAATGTGTTTTTCTATGTTTAAGTGTGTAGCATACCTAATTAGAATCTAGACTATTGTTTTCAAACGCTCTTATATGTTCGTTAATGCGTTTCGTGAAGGATCTACCTATTTTTCCAATATAAAGTTTAGGACAAGATCCACATTTCAACCTGTAGACACCTGATTTTTGGGATTTTGGACGTTTCGATTTATTGTTTCCTATTGTGTTGTTAGTTCTGAAAGCTATTTTTAAACCACATCGCGACAAATGTTTTGAAATTTTGTCACTAGGTTCTCATATGTATGTAATAGTTTTAAATTATTCGTGTTCTGTTAGGTTTCGGATAAATAGAGTTTACTGTTGTCTGTATTTGTTTTTTATTTATAATTTTATCTATAATGGACGGATTGTAGCCGTTGTTCAGTGCAATTTGTTTAATGATATTAAGTTCTTTGTTGTAATTTTCTATTGAGAGTGACGTATTAAGAAGTCTGTGTATAAAAGAGTTGAATGCAGCCATTTTGTGTGTATAAGGGTGATTTGAGCTGTTATGTATGACTGTGTCCTTGTGTGAAGGTTTATGATATAATGAAAAATCTAATTTGTTTTGCACTTTCGTAATAGTTAAGTTTAAAAAATTAATAGAGTTATCCTGTTCAATCTCGATAGTGAATTTTATACGATTATGTATTGAGTTGATGTAATTTAAAAAAGAATTCCATTGTCTGTCCGTTCCAATAAAGCAAGCAAAGACATCATCCACATCTCTACACCACCATAAAAAACTTTTACTTAAAGGATGTTCTAGTATGATATTTTCCATTATTATTAGACAAAAACTAAAGTTAGACAAATTAATTTCTAATTCAAAAATAGCTAAAAGCAAGCCAGTTATTACAAAGCATAGCGACCATGAATTTTACAACAAGTTCATAAACTTAACAGACATAACATTTTCTAAAAATTACGATTTACGACATTAACGATTCCACAATATAATTACACGTGCAGATAAAGGGAAAACAGTCATAGCTATCGATCTCCCAGAATATTATTTCAAAAACTCACAATTTTCTTAAAACAGAACTTTTCCAATGTATTAAACACGATCCTACCGAGTTATATCAAAGACAAGTCAAGGAAGTAATTACTAACTCCATACTATTTAGTGACAAAGACAAATATTTTTTCAACAATTATGAATCCACAACCGTCGAAATTATATTCTTTAGTTAAATTACATAAGCACGATATGCCCATTAGACCAGTCGTGTCTTATGTAACAGCTCCAGCAGTTAAACTCTCTACAAAATTAGTGAATATTAAGTTCCAAAATTTGCAATAAAAAATTATTTTGAATTATTCAACCAAATTAAAGACATCAAAATCATCAAAATGTCTTTTGATGTACAGAACTTACTTCCCAGTATTCCACCTATGGATGTGATAGATTTAGTAGATTTCATCCTAACTCGGAAGCAGGTTAAGCCATTGGTGAAACAAGATTTATTAGATTGCTTAATAGTATCTTTAGACAAACATTATTTTGAATTTAATGGACAGATTTATATCTCTAAAGGTTTGATTATGGGAAAGCCACTTAATCCTTTGTTAGCCGAGATTTTTATAGATAATTTGGAAAATATCATACTAGAACATCCTTTACGTAAAAGTTTTTTATGGTGGTATAGATATGTGGATGATGCCTTTGCTTGCTTTGTTGGAACGGACAGACAATAGAATTCTTTTTTAAATTACATTAACTCAATACATAATTGTATAAAATTCACTATCGAGATTGAACAGGATAACTCTATTAATTTTTTAGACTTAACTATTACGAAAGTGCAAAACAAATTAGATTTTTCAATATATCATAAACCTTCACACAAGGACACATCAAATCACCCTTATACACACAAAATGGCTACATTTAACTCTTTTATACACAGACTTCTTAATACGTCACTCTCAACAGAAAATTACAACAAAGAACTTAATATCATTAAACAAATTGTACTGAACAACGGCTACAATCCGTCCATTATAGATAAAATTATAAATAAAAAACAAGTACAGATAACAGTAAACTCTATTTATCCGAAACCTAATACAGAACACGAACAAATTAAAACAATTACATACATAGGAGAACCTAGTGAAAAAGTTTCAAAACATTTGTCAAAATGTGGTTTAAAATTAGCTTTCAGAAGTAACAACACAATAGGAAAATATTTAAAAAACAATAAATCGAAATGCCCAAAATCCCAAAATTCAGGTGTCTACAGATTGAAATGTGGATCTTGTCCTAAAATTTATATTGGACAAACAGGTAGATCCTTCAAGAAACGCATTAACGAACATATAAGAGCGTTTAAACACAATAGTCTAGATTCTAATTATGCTACACACTTAAACACAGAAAACAACATTTTTGACGATAATTTTGATATATTACATACAGCCACAAAAAGTAGAAAATTAAATTTATTGGAAGTCATTGAGATTAACAAAGTGAGAGATTCAAATGTATTGCTTAACGAACAATTATATTTAAATACCTCTTCTTTATTGAACCCATCAGGGTGGTCTGTGTCATCAAGGTGTGAGATCATCAATCTCACCCATCTTGGTTAGTAGAGGCGGACACAATGGTCTTCTAAAATTTCTCAACATTGTTTTGAGTTGAAATTCCTAATCGGCCTGTATTTTAGCGTTCTCAGTGTTGTAATCAAAAATAGAAAGGTGGCTTGCCTTCTTGCGGTGTCGTTTGGCGAGGTCTCTTATATTTAGTAGTACTCTACGTAGAAGTCTCTGCCAACAGGACCATTGAGAAGGGAGGCGCAGTAGCGGGCCCTAGCGGCACCCTCTCATCTCCACAGAGGTTTTTTACCTCATCGTTCTTTTCTGGAGGGTTTGTCTGTTTTATTCTGAGTTGAGCAACTAGCAAAATACACAGAGTGGCCCAATAGAAATATAATAAAAGTTTGTTGTATTTCTCTAAAATAATTAAACATAGAAAAAAGCTGAGTAAGGTACTGCATTCTGGGTAAAAAGAGCAACAAATTCACTTATTTTTCTACAAAAAGTATCACGGTGTCTTAAAGGATAACTATTTTTAGGTTTTTTTATTGTAACCATAAACAATTTTCGTGTTTGGATAGGCATTAGATGTAATTAGTGCGCTGCTAGTTCTTATTTTATTGTTTTGTTTAATTTAAGTATTTTCCGGTATATATGTGCAATCGAACATAGGGCGCATTTTAGGATGGGTAAACATTTACCAGTTCATGCAATCTCCTGGACACTTCAACGCTACCGAAAAACCGTTGCCTCAACCCTACTGGTATCCATTCGACAGGAATGAGCACTACCTGGTCGCCTTAGTGGACCAAAACGTCAGACCCACGCTCAGTTGTTTTTGTCTTGGTGTCACGAGCGCATCGCTGAACTCATTGGCGATATTCGTCAGGGTTCAGTTGAAAGTCTTACAGCATTATTTCCAACACTTCCACAGGAGTCAAGAAAAGGTCATCCACAGACTGAAATTGTTATGCGTGAAGCATCAACGCTTGATAACGTAAGTGATATTTGCCATCAAAAGTCAAACAGTCGCTTATGGATAACAATTTGTTAAGTAAGTCATTATTTTGTTTTCCTACATTACCATGATCTCAATCAAGCAAAAACCCAAAAACTATTTATTTCTAAAGGTTTTACCATAATTAATACTTTTCAAAATATACAAGAGTTGCACCATCTAATTTTGTTTATTATTTTCAATATTAACATTGAGAATATTTATTCCCAAATCACATAATTCAGATTCAACTCTTGATATTACCAGCAGACAAATGGAATGCCACCATAGTCATCAATGCAGGGGACTACAAGAGGAAAATGCACACTGGAAGACAAGTGCTACAAAGAGTGTCAAGAGACCCAACAACTTATCTTTAGAAAACCACCAATGATCAAGTAATCTACACAGGAAGAGCATTTGCAAAAAACCACCAATGATCAAGTAATCTATACAGGAAGAGCATTTGCAAAAGAAACCTATACTACTAAAAAAACCAAGCAGACATCTCAAATTCTACGGTCTACCATAATGCACACGTGCATACAATGCCGACGTACCACTGAGGCGAATCGTTAGCGCTTTCAATTCCCCATTAGCCAACTTATAGAAGTACTACAAACACCAAGCATCCAGCTTACCATGAAGGCCGAGAACGAAAAACAACCATCCTTTTTCTTCTAGTGTGGAAGCGAGATTATAAGCTAGGCCATACAGTGTATAGGAAATCAACACACACAAATAGATACCTAGATGATCTGTCCAACCACCATGCAAGGTAAAAGTATTGAGTCATCAGACCTGATCCAAGGAGTTCGAAAGATTTGCGAACCCGAGAACCTCCGACCTCAAACACCTTAAAACTTCGCTCTAGGCAAATGGCTACAGCAAGAGAAACATCGAGTGGTCGTTACGCTCGAGATCATCAACTTCAGGGGAAACCGACGCACTGCCTCTAGAACATATTGTCCATATATTCCGGGGGTCACAGACAGGATTAGTAGCGCTTTAAAGGGATAACGAAACAGTTTTCATACCTATAAAAAAGACCCAGTATACCGCATACCGTATCCTATTATCGGTCAACGGCTACTACAACAGATTTATAAGATTAGGACTGGTAAGGTAAGGAAATCATCGAGATCCATCAACTGGCAGCAAAAGTTATAACCAACTTGTCATTAAATTTTGATTTCAAGATATTGCTCATATATTGGCAATCTTCTTCGAATTTCTGCAAAACATGGAAACACATTCAACTTAAACCTAGATTTCTTAAGTAAAATATTTGAAACTACAGAACCAATAGGTTTTGGTTCCCCAGCTAACAGTGATTAATTAATTTTGGGTCAGTTGCACTCAATGTTTTACTTTAAACTGAGGATATTACTAATATTGGTACAATTTTAAGCATTGGTCGCGTTTTTATTTTTGTAGAAAATTTTTTTTTATATATTGTAATATCACGCACCAGGAGGTGCGTGATATTACAATATATAAAAGCAACGCGAAATACTTGTTACAAAGGAAAAAAAGATAAATAATTATGGTAAGAAAGAAGGAAAAAAACGTAAATAAATAAATAGATAAAAAAAGGATTGAATTTTTTGCAAAACTGACTTGCTGGGTGCTTGCAAATTAGTTACCCGTAGTGCTCAGAGTTCTGGAGCGATGGGGAGGGGGGGTCCAAGAATAATCAAGAAATGATAGCACTATTTAACCTTAGGGCACCTTTAAGTAGCAGATCTTCCAGTCTCTCAGACGGTTTGAGTAACCCGATGTTTTGCGATAAAAAAGAATATTAACGATGAAATCTACTTTTAAATTTAAATTGGGACAATCGATAAATATTAGTCGTGAAGGTTAAGGGGAGTGGAAAACAATGGGTGAAAATTAGTCTACGTTATTTAATACGCGGCGAAAATAAGAAATTAGAAATCCGCGACGTGCCTACTTAAACTCCGCAAAATTTAATCGCCGTCCTCACAACAAGTTGACCGCCCGTTTAATATGAAAGTTCCAAAATAATAGAAATACTCAAAAAACAAATTCCCCTCGGTGATCACCTCAGGCGAATAAAGCAATATAGATAACTATTAATAACTCGACAACGATCGTACTCAGTATTACCAGTACATCCACTTCCCGAAAATAATTGTATATAAATTTTCAAAGCCTTCGTACGCGAATTTTTTTCGAGAGTAAAACTACTACTAACTACTATTATTATTAAAACTATTTCCGAGTAGTGCAGCTCACAGGCGGCGTCTGGCTTCGCCCAGATCTATTAAGTGAGCCGGTGGTGAGGCAATGATTCAAATGTGCTCCAATATCCCGAAAACACAGGAACTTCGAAGTTTGGATCCTTCCAGAATACATCAACACGGAAGCCTCCAAAACACGAGGGGTACGGGTGCTCCAAGGAGCAATCTTCTTTCAGAGTAAGTGTGGCCAGTTTTCCAAAAGAACCTAAAATACGAACAGCAACGGACTCACCAAATCGTTGACGATATATTTGAGTGAATTTAAACCTATATCCTCAAAGCGTTGGCTGAATGAAAAGCCCGTAGGTTAATCAATTTTGGCTAGCTACCACGCTGTTCTTCTACAAAAAACAGGAAAACGATACGATACCACGCATGTCGCACAGAGCCAGGAGTGAGAAAGATAAATAGAGTACTTCCTCAGATATTCGAGTGCATAAAAGGTGCATAAATCAACATGGGGGTATACTTTTAAGGAGACTATTTATTAGGAAATGAGTATTTGAAACAGTAATAATAACAACTAAATAAAGCGAAATAAATTACGACATTCTTAGCTTGGTAGCACTGCCGTAGACGTCAGAGCAAATCAGGTGTTTGCCGGTGAGGCAGGAAAAAATAAATCGCTTAGAATTTAAAATGTAGACGCGGAACTACCGGATCGTATTCCACTATAATAACGATTCTAATTGCAATAACATAAGTTGCCAAATTGTTCAAATTTATTAGCGAAATCCCAAAGGCACGTTTTTGTTTTGTGAAAAACAATAATTTATGTTTAAATTGTCTTAGTGTTGTTCATACATACTATACTTGAGGAAGAAAACCAAATTCACTGTTTGAACTATTCCCGTACCTCCTGTAAACTATTGAATTTTATTAACTAGAATGTGACATTATTGCTACATTGGCTGATGACATGGCCATTCTGCAAATCAGCAAATAACCCCAAGGTATCAATTAATAAAATTAATAATTGGACCAAAAATGTAATGTGTGTTTTTTTTTTTCGATCTATAGAACTTTAAGTTGGCATTACTTTTCAAGATGGCGACCGATTTAACAGCTGTCAAGTGATTTATTCTCAGTTTGGTTTGGCAATTCATCATGAATAGACTCACGCCTGAACAACGCTTGCAAATAGTGCAATTTTATTCCGAAAATAATGGTTCTGTGCGGAATACGTATCGCGCAGTGCATCCATTTTATCGTCGACAAAATCGTCCATCAGAGCAGCTAATTCGATTAACCATGGAACGTTTTCGCACCACATTTACTCTTATTGATAACTCTAATCCCCAGAGAGCCGTACGGTGCATACAGAAGAAGCTATTGCTGCTGTAGAGCGTAGCATTGAGGAAGACCCGAATGAGTCCATCCGCTATCGAGCACAGGAATTGGATCTGTGTCCATTCACTTTATTGAAGATTTTGCGGAAGGATCTTGGTTTACGTGCTTACAAAATCCAACTCGTGCAAGAATTGAAGCCAAACGATCATCAAGTAAGGCGTAGATTCGTCGAATGGGCTCAAAACGAGATTGCCGTTGTTCCCGATTTTCATAAGCGAATTTTGTTTAGCGATGAAGCGGACTTCTGGTTGAATGGCTACGTCAACAAACAAGACTGCCGCATTTAGAGCGAAGCTAATCCTCAAATGTATGTCGAAACACCGTTACATCCAGAAAAACTGACTGTTTGGAGCGCTTTATGGGCTGGTGGAATCATTGGTCCGTACTTCTTCAAAAACGATGATGGCCAGAACGTTACAGTCAATAGTGATCGGTATAGAGCTATGATTACTAACTCTTTCATTCCTGAATTGAATAGATGTGGTTCCAACAAGACGGCACGACACGTTTGTTGACCGCCTAATTTTACGTTTTGGACCTGTGAATTGGCCTCCAAAATCTTGTGATTTAACACCGCTAGACTACTTTCTGTGGGGTTATGTAAAGTCATTGGTCTATGCGGATAAGCCACAAACGCTTGACCATTTGGAAGACAACATTCGCCGTGTTATTGCCGATATACGGCCACAAATGTTGATAAAAGTCACCGACAATCGGACGTCCAGATTGGACTACATCCGCGCCAGCCGTGGCGGTCATATGCCAGAAATCATATTTAAAATGTAATGCCACTAGATTATCTTTCGAATAAATAAAATTCATGTCAATCGAATAACCCATCGTTGTTTTATTGCAACTTAAAGTTCTAAATTCCAGAATAAAGTGCTAAGGAGCGCCGTTAAGGTTGTCAGGGGCTATGGACCACGCTCTTTGACCACGTAAATGCTGATGTCTTCGAGCTCCTCGACAAAACTAACAAGACGAGAAGAAGACTCAAAAGAAGCAAACCTATGCGTTACTAGTTATTTAATTGGCGAATATAAAAGCCCATATAAGGGGTAAATTAGACTAGCACACAATTGTTCAATGATCGTACTGTAATAAATCGTAATGGTAATAAAAATAAAAATATATATATATATATATATTTAGAACATCTTAAAAGTTTCGTCCGTGATTCGGTGTCCCACGATACCGACCGTACGTCTATAAGCTTATCAAACTTGAGTTAGTCCTGTATCTGGGTTTTCAGCCGCAGAATTTGTTTCAGATATACTAAAGAGCTGAGCGAATCGCTACAATACATAGTGCTTCTGGACTATACAGTATCATCGGTAACATTCGCATTGATGATAGTTCAAATTACCACAGTAAGTGATTTAGAACAAACCGAGACTACCCTAAAACGATTCCTTACCCAGGGCGAGCAATTTCTAATTAATTTCGTCATTTTAATATTCACCACACTGCAATTATTGACTTTTTCTTGGAACTGCAACGAAATAATAGTGCAGGTAACTTCGAGCTATCACTGTTTGATTTCGGGAATAGCAGAGTATTTTCAGAGTATGGAGCTGGCGAAAGCGCTTTTCGAAAGCGACTGGTACGACCAGGGTCGATCTGTGCAAAAGCTGATTTACGTAATGATGATGAGGTGCCAGAAGCCGCTTTATTTACGTATAGGATGGTTGGGAGTGATGGATCTGAATGCAGGAATATCGGTGAGCGTAGAAATCAGAAACAGTCTACGAATATTACTTCAAAATTGAAATCTTGCAGAGGCTGAAGCTGGGATACTCTTATACGTCCATCATGAACAACTGATAACAGTATGGCTCTAATTCAACATACGTTTAAATTTAATGCACACCAAGTTATAAACCAAAATCAATATATTAATTTGCTAATATAATAGTTGTTTATCTAATCGCAAAAGTACAACCTTCCTATTTATCCTATTGAATAGTAATACAAATTAAAAGTCAGTAAAAGGAGACAATTAGATCATTTTCATTGTAACAAAGTGGAACTAGGGGTTCAGATTAATTAATTTTAATATTTGCATGTGAGTAAGCTCAACTCTATTTTCAAGAAAACAAGGAATAATCGAATTTTTTCAAGAAACTTCCACAGGCTACTGTAATACTTCTTCCTCATGCGTCAGTTTTTTGCTGAATTGAACTTGCTGAAGTTTCACCAATCATTCTGCTGGATTTTTCAGAGCTGTACCTGCTAATGTATTTTTTAAGGAGGGGCAGAGCAAAATGAGGGGCATAAAACTACGTACACAGACCGATACCTTAGGTCACATCACCATCCGATCCAAAAATCATCGGTTATCAACTTTCTTGTTAACAGAGCCGTAAAACTATCTCAGCCTGAGTCACTGAAAACAGAATTAAAAAGCCTTACCTCTGCTTTTCCCTCTAATAATTTCCACATTAAAGATATTAAACGTTCCATCAAAAAATACACTTCACCACAACCTTCCAATAGCAATGAGGCCGAAAGCAATCCTACACTTGCCACTGTGGTCTTTCCTTACATTCAAAACATCCCTGACCATATATCAAAAGTTCTAAAAAAGTATAACGTCAAAACCAGATTTACCACTTGTCCAAAAATCTCTCAACATCTGCAGTCCGTCAAAGGCAAAATTCCATTTGAGACGTCAGGAGTTTATAGCATTCCATGCATATGTGGCAAAGAATACATTGGAGAGACCGGATAAAAAAATATCGACTAGGCTCAAAGAACACGAAAGAGCGTTACGACTAAGACAAATAAACTCATCAGCTGTTGCCGAACACACTCATGAAACCGGGCATAAAATTTTATTTGATAAAACTAAAATTCTTGCATGTAATCAATTCTTCTACCAACGAAAAATCCGAGAGTCTATAGAAATCTATAAACAACCTAACACTCTTAATCGCGACTCAGGTCTCTGGGAATCAGTCATCCGAGACAGTGTTTACACGCCTCATTAGCGCCCCCCACCCCCACCCGCCCAAACAATATATAAGCATTTACAGAGTAAAATACAAGCCAGTTTCAGTCAAGCTCTGAAGAAGCCATCAGGATGATTGGTGAAACGTCAGCAATTTGGACTAAGCAAAAACCGACGCAGGAGGAATCCAGAAGTTTAGGTTAGCATTACAGTAGCCTGTGGAAGTTTCTTTGAAAAAAAAAATTATACTAAACAAACAAATTTTGTTTTTGTTTGATCGGCATGCTCCAATTAAAGAATTCTTAATAACTAAGCCAAAAGCTACCAGAAAACATTAAATTATTTATGAAAGAAAGGGAGGCTCCCTTGCAGAAATTTAAAAAATCTAAACTACAGTGCGACTGGACACGCTAGAAACATCTAAGAAATATTAGATTAGCATCAATAAGAAAAGAAAAGAAGCAACATCTTGACCTTTAAAAACAATTTCAAAAAACTTGGCAAGCTTTAAAAAGTTTCAATATATGCGGCACAAAAAATAATGAAATTAGTAACTTTTTTTCTGCATATCTACAGAATAAGTCAGGCTGTCCTGCAAAAACAAACCTTTGTCGAATTGACATTTTGAGATCTTTAAAATTCTGTAACAATTATAAAGAATTTGAAGCTTGAACTGAGGTGGCTTTTACTTAATAAAATTCCATTTATCAAAATAAATAACAACTAAAAGTTCAGATTTTCACGAAATTATATATTATGACATGACAATTGTTTCGACAACATCGTGTCTTTATCAAATGTAATATCTACAAACTACCTGCCACTATATATACCGAAAAATGACCATAAAACTGTAATTAATGTTGTTGCGAGAATTTAAGTTCAGTAAAGGAGAGGTATTTAAATCTAATTGATCGTTAAGCAATACATTTGAATGTCTCATTTTGTTCCAATAAATTGAATTGTACAACAAACAGGTAGATCCTTCAAGAAACGCATTAACGAACATATAAGAGCTTTTAATAATAATAGTCTAGATTCTAATTATGCTACACACTTAATCACAGAAAAACACATTTTTGACGACAATTTTGATATATTACACACAGCCACAAAAAGTAGAAAATTCACCTGTGTGCGACGCTTCGTCGAAAGTTATTTTGATCTTTGTTGCCCGATATCGCTGCACACAGTGTTGTGGATATGACAAACTACAAATGTTATTAAATGTTATTAAATTCAAACACACACACCCTCTTGAAAAACCCAAGTTCAAACAAGAATATTCTCGAATTGTCAGAACTATGTTGACTTACGTTGACCCAAAACATATATTTTTAATCGAAATAATACATCATGAAGCCAACCGCGAAAAAAATTTAAAACTAGATTAACTTCGCAAAAACGCAAATACTTCGCACAGACTGACGAATTTCTCCACTACGAACTTTGAGGTCGATGCATTTTAACGATTATCCCCAGTTGCCACTCACAGGTAGGTTCATTGTCATTTTTGATTAGCACTAAACCACAGTTCTTCATCAAGTCATCATAGTGTTTCTTCCATTTTCGGCGTGTTTTTAGTTCACTAAGAAATTCCTTTTTACATCTTGACCGATAACGATGGGTAACAGCTTGTAATTTCTGCCAAACCAATCTCAGAAACTCCAGTGACCTTCAACTCAGACAAGTCTTCAGGATCAGAGGAGAGAAGACAGAGAGGCCTGGATTTCGCTTAGCTCGTATCCAATATCCATCCACAAGTGGATCTTATAATTCTCAATATCTAGTGATTTCATTGCTTTTTCGAATAGTTGACTTAGTAAAACGGTGCTAGACAATTCTAGCCTATTCAAAGAAACTCATTTTAATGGTGCTACCTTTGATTTTGTACACAACAATTAACATTTTACACCCAAGGCACTATAAACACCTTACCTGCAAGCCAGCCTCGTATTCTTTAATTGATGAGTCACAAAATCCATGTAATTCTACCTCCAAGCAACCTTGAAATCATTTATACATAACAGTTCCTTTATAGAACCTAACCATATATTCGCGAGCTCGTCTGATACTTACATATCCCATGGTACCTTTAAAGACTATAATGATAATAAGATTAACTTGGCTACTATAATAATTGGTTCAATAATCGAAACTGAGCATAGATTTGACAAATTACTGGGAGAACAACTCTTTCTGTGTGAGGAATAGTCGCCAACAATGAATTTTGCGCCGCAGTTTTTCTCGATGGGAATCTCATAATGTTTTACTGTGTTTATCTTCTTTAATTTCTACAATACCAACTTCCATATTCCAATTCACATTAAAATTGAAATATCTTTGTCAGTACACAACCACTTTCTTACTTGAAATCCAGCGCTATTTAAAATACTTCGCATTGGATTTTAAGTAGTTCTTCTAGGGTATTTGCTGATGTCAGCAGGTGATCCCCATAAAAAGCATTTCTTATTACCTTGCTAGCTAGAGGATATTTCTTTTTATTTTCGTGAGCCAATTCTACTAAACATCTAACTGCCAAATAAGGAGCGGGAGTGTGTTTTTAATTCTAAAACTTGAACGTTTTCTATAGGATCACTTCGCCTCACTATCCTTATCTGATGCTAAGAATTGTTTATACATCTTTCAAACGTCCGCAGTCAACACATAAGGTTTTTCTCTTAACCTTAACGATATTTGGAAAATGTCCTGCTGTAGTCTGGGGTCAGAAAACTGTACATCGTTTAAGCTGATTCTAGTTGTCATTTTCATGCTTGCGTCAAATACAATGCGACATCCTGTGGTCTTACTGTCTTCTTATGTTCCACAATCTGGAACCTGTCAATTATCTCTGCAATCTTACTCATGTGATTCAAATCAATTAAGACGCGATGACGTCATTTACTATTGAGACGTAGTGTGCGCTGCATTGTTTCAGATAAATATTATTTTCTCGAGAAATTATTATATGCTTAGGTGCTTCCTCTAACCAACAATACATAAGTTGTACCGTTTGCCGTCGGGAACGTTTTATGTGAAAGGCTGAAAATTTTTAGAAAGTAAATAATTACAATTAAATAGGGGCTGAGGGGACTTTATAGTATCTACGGATAGACCTCATCCACCTTCATCTTCAGTACAAATTTCAACCTTCTCGGAGCAACGTAGGTACTTAAAAAAATTCAAAACCTAAATTTTTGGGAAAAGTCGCGACCAAGCACACATGAAAAATTTAGATCGAGCTCGATATTAACTGAAATTGGCACAACGGTTGGTGGTTGGGGAGTATTAAAATAAAATAGTCGGTTGTTCAATTATAAGTTTCTTAGTGCCTCCGGGAAATAAAATATTGGCAAAAAACGGTCTTTTTTCGATAAAATGTTTTATATTTCGTTTATTTTTAATTTTGAGAAATTGAAATGAATATGTTACATACTTTAGTCATTTTTCTATTCAATGATACCAAAAGGTCTCTCACATGTTGTACTGTTTCCTGTCGGGAGCGGTTTTTGGAAGAGAGCGCAATTTTTTTTAAATTAATATTAATTATTAATTACAACCAAATGTTGGGGACTAGGGGGAACTTTACGGAATGTGCAAATAGCCCTTATCTTTAGTAAAAATTTCAACCTTCTCGAAGCAACGTAGGTATTCTAAAAAGTTAAAAACCAGAATTTTTGAGGAAAATCATGACATCCAAGAAAATTATGATTTGAGAATATTAACCAATGATGGAGCGGGTTGGGGGAGGACTTGATGGTATTTGCGAATAGACCTCATTGACCTCCATCTTGGATAAAAATTTCAACCTTCTTGGAGAAACGTAGGTATTTAAAAAAAATTAAAAACCTAAATGTTTGAGGGAAATCATGGTTAACATGAAAATAACAAATCGGAAATATTAACTGAAAATCGGGGGGCTGGGGGAGTCTTTATAGCATCTGCGGATAGAGTT